CGAATGAAGATAAGGGTGAAAGTTTTTCGACTAGGTGAATTTATGAGTCTGGTGGCGTTCATCATGGTCACAAAGTTTTGACTGCGTGTTCTGCTTCGAAGAAGACTGATTCAGTTGCGTTCGAACGGATTCAGCTAAATAATTAAGGTCCATTCTTCATCTCTGAGGAATGATTTCTCTTCCACTCGTAGTCAGTGTTTTCAGTATGAGGTTCTTGCTGCGCCCCCTGGTCATGTATTCTGCGAAGCCTAAATCCTAATTATGTACAAACTTCATCGATTTGTAGTTCGACTGCATTAAAATTTTATGATAAATTGGTTTCGTTTCAACAGTTTTTGCACTAGCCCTGCTACTATATTTCTGTCATAGGTTATCCCACCGGCGAGTACTAACATTGGAGAATAAATTGAAAGAGTGCAGGGAGCACCAGTTGGCCGTTTGTTCGAGGCAACCCAGTTACGAAGGTATGCAAGAGATGCAGAATAAAGCTGACCGCTTCAATCAGGAGCTGGATTGCACAAACTCTCAACTCGAGGTAGCGCTGAATGAAATCTCAGTGAAAAGTAAGTTTCACTCTTTTTAAGTTTGACAAAACTAACCTAAATATCTCAGATAACATGATCAAAGCCTTAGAAGAAAATGTGATTCTCAAAGAAGAAGAACTGACCGAAAAAACGGCCAACTTCAACGCTTACCTTGAAAAGGCCAGACAAGTATGAAAAGCACGAAGTATGATGCTATTACCACGATTGATCAAATCGATGTTTTTAGGTGATTTTGGCTTTGAAAAAAATTAAAGAAAGCCCCCAAGACATCAGTGAACCGAATACGGCGAAAGAGACCATGAAGAAACAGCTGCACGAAAAAGAGCAGGCACTAAAAGACATGGAGGTGATCTATGCTACCATGTGCATGTACATATGTAATTGGTAATTAAGCATATTCGCTCTATTATATATTCTTAATGGCATCTGCTTGACAACTAGCATGAAAAAAGGAAAAATAAACGACAACTACTAAACAAAACAGACTTTCGTTTTTGTATTGTGTGAAATCAAACGTTCAAATGAAGAAGCCATTACTTCATTTTCTCTTTTGATACCAGATTGAAAAGGCATAATGGCACCGTCCCTTTGCTTCTGTCGCCTATGGGACCATTTAAGTAGGCCGCGATTCTATGGTTATTGAGCACCTGCAGTGCAAGGATGCAGAACCGCGTCATTATGCAGGGCCGAACAAAGGATTTTACTTCAGTGGCCAAAGTTAACAGGTTCACAGCGTGATGTAATTAGAAATACTCATGTGCAGTAATCTTATATTTTTCTTTGCTTCTGTTTCACTCATGAAGTTTTTTGAATTCTTGCACTGAATTTTATTTGACTAGCAAAATGCTTGGATAAACTTATGACAAAAGCAGTAAGTGTAAACGACTGCACGAATTCATGAATCCTGAAAGTCAGAAATACGCCAAAAATTTCTTTCGGGTACTTCGAAGGTCTCCACCCCCTTCGTACCAGCCAGGGTTTAACGCTACTAGCTGCGCATTTGTTAGTATTAGGGTTGTTCAGTCTGTAGAGCACCGAATTCGGAACTGGTAGGTACCTGGTTCGATGCCTCGTCAGATCCCTCTCCTTTCTTCCTTGCGAGGTTGATAAATTAGTGCAACACTGTTGAAAGAGAGTAACAGACTACACAGTCTGCTTTCCACATGGCTGCTGTCAGCTATGCCGTTGAAACAAGACACTCCTGGCTGATGACATGGAAATGGAGATCAGCGGTTTTCCGTTAACTTCAAGGAAAGAATTACGCTATCATGAAATTGTAGGGAAGACTGACATTCCGACGGTTACAAACTTTTCTCTTTGTGCTTTCCTTTGTTAATTTGGCCAAGTTTCGACTGCAGTATACTGCGACTGGTAGTGGTGCTGTAGCATCTAATATCATTTTGATGGCAGGTACCTATGTGTTGTTTTGCTGTCTCCCTTCCATTGAATTTCACTTGTAATTTTTGAATACTAGCTAAACTCCCTACATATGCTGCGTATGCCCTGTCGCAGTATATGCTTAGAATGTTTCATTTTAAGCGATGAACATATCTAATGTGAGCTCCAATAAGCGAAAAGTTTAGTCTGTAGTACGCTGTGTATCATCTGACTAAATCAGGTTAAAATTACGATACGGCTCCTCTGCTTACTCCTAGATGCCTGGTGTATCATAACACTTGAGAAAGAGCAAGACATTTTTCTTATTCACTGTAACTTGGAAGGTCACATTAAATTGCCTTTCTCGAGAATTCCAAATCTTTGGTTTTGATCATTCTGATCTTCTCTCGACCGATCCAGTCGGTAAAGAACCTGTTAGTTTGACTTCTAGAAAACTGTTCATATCTTGAATGGACAGTTCTCAACGATTATCATTATATCACTCAGTATTTTAGGAGAATTTCAAGCGCATGCAGATAATGAAAGACCAAGAAACTCAGCTCGTTGCTTCTGCCTTTCATGAGATGGTAAGATTTTTCCCTTATTTGTTGTTTTGCTTATTCCGTTGTTAATGTGTAGCTAATTTTATTTAAAATGTTTTTAAGTTTTTAATCTCTGAATGCATCATACCTTGTTTATTCGATATTGAATGGACTGTGTAAAATACACTTCGAATTATGTCGCTGTTTAATGCTTCTTCACTGATGTTTTTCAAGTCTGCATCTGTTTCAGACTGGAGGATTTACTCTTATTTATGTTTAACTAAGCAGAGTTACTCTGCAGTTTGTTAATAAGTGTCATCTGTTCAGAGGGTGTAGCCGTGATTGATAATTTTGCGTTATTTTTTGTCATATTTCTGTGTTCTTGACGACACCAGTAACATTATTGGCTTTCGTTTCTTACCATTTCCCAGTATCGTTCATCCATCGTCTGCATTTACTTCATTGATGCCATTGATGAGTCGCTACGATCAGTTTGCAGCACAGACAGTATGAATAATTAAATAGCGTCAGTGTACGAGATAAATTCAGATGGTGATTCTCAACCCTTCTGTAATACATGATTAAAATCATTTTGTCCTATGCAGATTTGCCTTTCAGTGCCGTGTCTAATGACCTTGATTCCAGTTTCATTTTTTCACTTATTTTAATCATCTTTTAATTTTTTGAATATTTATTCTCCTAGACGGACAGATGGTGGGCACCATTTAGAAGCACACTGGAAAAATTGACAGAAATTTCAATTTAACCATTTTCCATGAATATTAGGAAATGGAGAAAACATTCTTCGCTATCCTGATTGATTGAGATAAAGGACGTGTTACTGATAACGCGGGCAAAAGTTGTACATGACGTTGCCTAAACCGTGAACGGTAGCTGTCATTTTTCCGGATGCGCATGACTTGTCGCACAGTCTTTTTGTTTCTAGTAGCCTTAGGGGGCCATTTAGGCATCTCACAACTTCATGGTATTTTAACGTTAACAATTAACGTAGTCGTTGTCAACGTGCAGTCTTATGCAGTTCTATACTAATGGACAGTGGTCATTTCATTCAACTATAATATTTAACCCAACAAATTATATATTGATCAGAAGCTTTCCGTGAACACAATGTGAAACTTTTGTCAAACTATTGAATTTCTAAGATTTCTTCCATCATCCATCAAAATGTTCATTATTTATGTTAATATCGCTGTGAGTACAATATCAGAATGTCCGTCAAATTGCCCAATTATTGCACAAAATTTAAATTTGTGAGTATATTTTAGTTTAAAGTCAGCTTTTCACGGAAGAACAACGAGCTGTTGTACAAAGTAACTGTATTTATATATTAAAACTTTTATCCAATATACATCATTGCGTCATTTCGCAGTTACGCACTAAGCCATGAAGTTAAGTAATAATATCGCCATAATGATGGTCATTCACAATGGATATTGTTCTTTCGTCCGCATCACGATA